TCTTCTTGACTGTGAGAGAAGCCTTCTCTCACTGGGTATTTTTCCCTCTGGATGCAACCCGGAGTAGAAAAAGTAGTTTATTAAAACTTAAATACAGCTTTTGAAAACTTGCCCAGACAAACAAAATGTTAATGCAAGTTTTGGCTTGGTCTTCACTGCTTGGGAAATGACTTCTCTCCTGTAATAAGATGAGCTGTAGCAGCTCTGTTATTCCAATCACTAAAGGCACAAGTATCACCTACAACATGTCTGAAGCACAATACCCTTCAGCACACCTGGTCCCCCTTCACTTCTCTCAAGCAGGGAGGGAAGGATGTGCAAGCAGCCTACGGAAACAACACAATGTTGGTGTTCTTTCCTCAGAAATGAAAACTGTGAGGAAACACAGGAACAGACTACCACATGGAAGCTGCTCTAAGGAAAGCATCAGCTGTTCTCCACCTCAGGACAGAAGTAGTACTCAGCTTTAATGGCAACAAGGAAGACGAGGTACGAAGGATAACTTTCTAGCAGGAAGAACAACAAAGCACCAGAACAGCTTCCATGCAGAAGTCCTTATCAGCATTGGAGGCCTTTTAGATCAGGTTGGGCAAATGTTTGTCAGAAATGATGTAAGCCAAGTTGATTCTTACTTGGACAGGGAAATTAAGCTAGATAACTGTCAAACTCTCTTCCAACCCATTTTGATCTATGGCCCTGCATCAAGGAACTGAGTGCTGGCCAGTAATCCACACATATTCAGTCACCTGGGTCCCCAGAGATCTCCTGTGTCACCTGTCAAGGCTTAACCCCAGTCAGCAACCAAGCACCACACAGCCGCTTGCTCACCCCCCCTTGCTCACCCCCCCTACCCCCGGTGGGATGGGGGAGAGAATTGGAAGAGCAAAAGTGAGAAAACTCGTGGGTTGAGATAAGAACAGTTTAATAATTGAAATAAAATAAAATAATAATAATAAATTGTAATGAAAACGAAAACAACAAAAAAAGGAGAGAGAGGAACAAAACCCAGGAAAAACAAGTGATGCAACCGCTCACCACCCGCTGACCAACACCCAGCCTGTCCCCGAGCAGTGGTTGCCACCCCCCAGCCAACTCCCCCCAGTTTATATGCTGAGCATGACGTCATATGGTGTGGAATAGCCCTTTGGCCAGTTGGGGTCAGCTGGCCTGGCTGTGCCCCCTCCCAGCTTCTTGTGCACCTCCTCGCTGGCAGAGCATGGGAAGCTGAAAAGTCCTTGACTCAGTATAAGGACTGCTTAGCTTAGCAACAACTAAACCATCAGTGTGTTATCACATTATTCTCATGCTAAATCCAAAACACAGCACTCTACCAGCTACCAGGAAGAAAATTAACTCTACTGCAACCGAAAGCAGGACACACCCTAGCAGAGTCACTCTGTGTCTGTCAGTTCCTCACTTGGAAAGGAGTCTCATCCCTACAAGAGCACAGGCTCAGCTGAGAGTGCTGTGAGGATAAGCACATTTCTCAGACTCCCTAAGGTCCCTGAGAAAGTCCTTTTTACTCCCCATCTTGTGTGGAAGACTGAAAACACAGGTGGTACTTGCACTTAAGGGTGCTTACATTGAAAGCACCCTTACCAGAACAAGAATGGTACTCTGTCCTCCAGCATACTAGATTGTCCAAACCCATGGATTAATGCAGGCTTCAGGCCTCTCATTAACAGTATGAAGTACAACCCCAGTCCTGCATCACAGCTGCGAGGTCCTCTGCCAGCTTCCCCACGAGCCCTGCACCGAAGCTCTGTTTTACTGCCACAAGAATAGAGGTTAAAGCCCCACGTTGCAGCTGCATCTACACTGAAGCCAAGCCCTCTGTTGACCCGAGTTCTCTCAACATCTTGCCATGCTCCCCACACAGCAGGAAGCCCGTAGCAGGACTGTTCTCCAGCACAGACACAGCTAAGCTGACACCACAGCACCATCTGCAGGGCTCTGCCAAAGACCAAGCTTTTACCAACTCCTCCTCAGGAAAGGCCAGCATGATCCTGGTAGATACTTCGCACCTGGTAACTCTCCAAAACACAGATGTGAGCACACACACATGCACAACCACACTCTTCAGAGTCCTGCTGGAAAACAAAGCCCCTCTCTCAAAGCATCAGGAAACAAATCACCGTTTTGATACAGTTCCAAAGACCCAGTAAGTCCCAGAAAATTAAATGTATGTCAGATACTGGATTACGTAAAATGCCAACTGAAGCATCAGCCTTCTGTAGCTTCAGGGAGCAGCTATGCCTCTGCAGAGAGCTCACATGCACAGTATATTGCTGGCATCAGCTGAGCCTCTTACAGGCAACAAAGACAACACAGACACGGTCCACTGCTTTAGGAAGGGCGCTGGGAGTGCCTGTGGTTCCTTAAAACCACCATCTCCAAAAAACTTTGCAGTACTTCTATACCAAAATGAGCCTGGGCCAATATGCATAAAGCACTGAAGAACACATTGTACTATACCAGCACATTCCCTCAGATGTGAGTCTGACAAATAAATCCAGCCTCTTGGGAGGAAGAACAGTTTTTCTCCATTCTTGTCTTTATGAGAAGGTCAGCAGCACCATGTGATTTTCCGAGACATGCAACCACTACGCAGTGCAAACCCACAGAAATGTAAGCATTTTTATTAGTGCTTTAGCTATAAATACAGGAATTTAACACTTGTCCTACTGGATTAGGCCAAGAGTCTGTCTCACAGAGAAAGTGTCCTGCCCAGAGCTCTGACAAGTGATTGATTGATGCTTCTGAGAAAAGGCACACTGCTTTCTGCAGCCCAGCCACCAGCGCTCTCAGAGGGACATCTAACTCTAGCCTGCTGCAGGGAATCAGCCTAACCCTTGAAGAATGCAATATGATGCTGTTTAACACTCTTGTAAGCCAGTAAACTATCCAGCTTTTAAAGTATCCTGCAGAAGTAAGCTGTACATGTTGCTGTTTCATACATAAACACTGCCAACACCCAGATGGAATCTGTGAACTGTTTAAAAATTAAATTTAAAGAAATAAGTCTGACAAACTTTACTTTAAAAAAAGACCCTAAACTATTATTTAAAAAAACAAACAAACAAACAAAACACCACCTCTTTGACTATGATTTGTACTCACGGTTCTAGCAGGCAAAACTGCCAGAAATCAGCTGTGCTGGAGCTTTATTTCCAAACCTGTGATCAAATGCACTTTAACTGAACTTTTTTAATTCTCTCCTTTCCTAGATTTCCTCTACTGTGTTTAACCAGGGCAGGTACTGCAGTCCAGAGAAGGCTCATAACTTCAAGTAGAGTGTATGGGATATGCGTAGAGCATGCATAGCGCCCCATGCTCTACTGGGGTGCGTAGAGCGGTGGGGAGGATAAATCCAGGGCTGAGTGGTACAGTGGGGTGAAAGGCCAGTCTGTGAACAGAGCTGTAAAAGCCCAGAGGGTGGGGAGAGGATCCAACTGGAGACCTGAGCGCTGGTACATCAGAGAGCGCTCAGGTATCTGTGGAAAAGCAGGGCCAATGTTCAAGAGTTACAAAGCAAATGAAAGAGCAGGGAGCATGAGTGTGGGAGAGGTAGAGGGGAAAGGGACTAGATGTATTAGTGCTCATGTAAAGCCCTCTGGATCTGCTGCAGCCTTCCAAACAGATGCAGTTTGCTGATGCAGCTCCTACCTAGTGTTTCTGGCAACGCACTCCCAGTTCAGCCTGGACAGAGAGCCTGACAGCACCGGTCACTGTCTGGACACTTCCAGCCTCACTTCCACCGGCCCAGCAAGTGCTTCCATTCAGACTGGTAGACCAGATCCTTCGCTTTGCTTTCTTTCCCTCCTTCCCTGGCTAGCTATGGTCAGGAAGGGAACTTGCAACAGTAGAAACACCACCAACAAGAAGCAGCAGCTTGAATTTAATCCTTCCATATTTATAATGTCCTGATGTTGACTGTCCATTTCAGGGACTTCTCTCAGTGTTGTTTCAGGCAGCCCTACTCTGAGTCATCCTTCCCAAAGAAACAGACCACAGCTATTCCCATGGCTGTCAAGAGACTGGGTCCTACTCCAAACTTAGCCTGTTGTCAAATTTTGTATGTCACGTATGTCATTTCACCTCCCGTTTTTCAACTTCTCCATCTGCGAAACTGGAGCAGCGATTCTGACCTTCTTTGTAAAGTCTTGCATTTAAATGCCTTACAGGGAAGTTAGGCATTTCTATTACTATGAGAAGCAATGTGCGGGTCCCAGATGTTTATTCAGGTCTGCTAGCATGTTTGAAAACGTAATTGCACAGCAATTCCTGTAAGGACACTGATCTGAAGCACTACCTTTATTACAATGTTTTGATTGTTTCTGGCAGCATCCACCAAGTGGCAGGTGCTGTAGATTCAGATGGTATAACATGTGCACTGATCCTTCAATGACATGTCACTCAGCAGAACTGGGAAATGAAGGCTGCTTTGCTCTTGGAGATCTACTCCAGAGCATCAGGATCCTGGAATAGAACTGAATTTGAAATGTGCCGGTTAGTCATGTTCCACTATATCAGCAAGTCCATGTGCCAATATAAGCCAGAGTTTGGACCTATCATCCAATCTGGTCACATTCTATATAAATTTATCTCAAGGCCAAAAAAAAAAAAGTTAAATTCTTTCTAGGTCAAATGGGTGATCTGACATGTTGAGAAGTTGTATTTTTAATGAAATATCTGGAGCTGTGAACTCTTCCATATTGGGTCCTGAGATTAATGAGTCACTTTAGCAAAGCAAACTAAAAAGTTCCATGCAGTTCCCCGAGGAAGGTGAAACACTTGTACGTGCTCTGCTGAACTTCTGCATCTCTGGATGAAGTCTGTATCAGGAAACAAGAGGGTCTGCCACTGCATGGAGAGTTCAATGCACTGGGGAATGAAGCGCAGATTCCTTTTGCCATGCAGAGTTTTCAACAAGCTGTTCA